TAAGAGGAAAAGCTTTATTTGACGGAATTATATAGTCAGAATGAGTGATCACCTCCGGTTCAATGCTATTCCTTACTTCCTTGGACAATCTTTCAGATAAGCTAATTAATTCAACAGTATGTCCAGAGAATGATTTACTTCATTTGGAAGAGCAAAATTCAATCATCTTTCCAATAAGAGTTTCCACCATCCTCCAGAGTTCTATCGGATAAATTGTTAACCATATCCTTCCCCAGTTTGCTAAAATCATAGTTAGTACGACTTTTAGCTCAAAGTTTTTCGACCTAAGTATAATTACTGAGCTCCGGAGCTTATAATGTATCTGTCGAGTCATCCTGTCAGTCGCCTCTCCTAACACAGCAGCAATATCTTATAATTTAAGGAAATCTACATAACTCAATATTTCGCAGTGATTTCCTAAGCTTGGTTATAATTACTTCGTGTAGTTTGTTGATGCTTTCCTTGAGTCTAGTTTTAGCCAACCATGCGATACCTGATCAGGTTCTTTATTGTTGGGCTTCGGTAAATAGCAGCGTCTACCGAGTGAACAACACCTGGGAACGTCGTATAAAAGCCAAGCGCCTGCAGTACAACGGGATTCAATCGTCCCCTTCTGGTGACTTTGACCTTCGAATCTCTTCTTCATACACTTTGATACGAAATGGAAGTCCCAACAATCATTAATTTTATATTTCCGACCTTGGTTTACATCTATAAATGGAAAAAAATTAGGTATTGAGCCAGTATATTCTTTTTTCCATATATATTACTGTTCACCCTGCTCGGATAACGAAAATATCCCAGAGGTAAATCATTATTCTATTCAATTTATTTGCTGGCTATATATATTATAGTCATGGTTAAGAAAAAGTAAATTACACAATTAATCATTATCATGTTGCCAAATTGCCAAATGATTATCCTTAAGTCTAGCTATCAGTTTTACATTTTCATTGGATCGTTAATCCTTTTTTTCACATGGGATTATTAGCCGAGTTATGAGTCAAACCTGATTCTACTACAAGTCTGTGCTCTTGTCCATACATCCGGTCGTTACTGGTGAGATGTACTCTACTCATAAATAGATAAAATAGTCCTAAACGGAATTTTGCTTAAACTTACTTCTTTAATATCCGACTGTCCTATAAGGTTG